ATCCTGCCTCAGCAGCCCCACATATCCTTCACTGGATTTCAGGAGAGCACACTTTTCCCCATTCAACGAGATATTGTATATATTTATTGTCATCCCTACATTTCCCTTTCCCTTCATTTCCCTCTATTTAGCTGATAAATGGATTAAAGCCTCTAGTGGTGATGAAAATCCAGAGAGACGAAGGGAGGGTTTATGGGCTCTGGATTCAAGCAATTATAATGTCGACAAATCATTTTGCTTTAATTAGATCTGAGAATATCTGATAGGATACCCAATCTCAATTTTCCCTTTTCACAGCTCTGTGCCAGCGAGATGAAAAAGATGCAAACTTAATCAAGCAAAGTGAGAATTTGATATGAACTGAATCTTTCCATTGATCTTCTGCCCACCAGGTGGTATTGAATAGCATGAGTTTAAATGCCTGCATGTGATACTGCATAACTTAAACTGACCAGTGTGTGCCATGTTTGCAAATTGGACAGTGCGAGGGATTTGTGGTGTGTATGCTCTCTATCTCCCTCTATTTTTTCTCCTGCTCAATACATTAGTCTTGCTTTTAGGCGCTCCTGCAGGCTACGGAAAAGCCCAATGAAAAACCATCTACAGTAGGTCTTTTGCCCACCGTGGACAGCATTGTCCCTGACTAAGCAGGTCAGTTAGAAAAAATATCCCCCCCTGCTTTTATTCTGCCTCCATGAGCAGTATAATCAATATGCTCTGGCTGTATTGTGCAGCTGGTGGGTGAGACCGGGTGCTTCTTACAGGAAGGGCAAATGCACACCAGCATGGGCACATCCTGTAACACACTAATGCACCTCAGGGCTCTGACATCAATTAAGAGAGACAATGGACAACTGTCTTGTGCATTGCAGGCTAAAAAGCTTGAATGTGGGTGTGTTTATTTGGTGAAAGGAAACGCAATTACCCATTAGACCTCTGCTGAAGCGACTTTGTGTCACCAACGTCCACCTTTAGTTCTTGCAAATCTTTTAGCATCTTTTGAAAGGACATCTTTTACCAAGATTTAAATGATTGATACATGTGTCATGTCTTTATGCTAAATATGAAACTACAGCTATTTAGCTTAGCTTAGCATAAAGATGAAGCCCAGAAAAAGTCATACATAATACTATGTAAAACCACAACTTTTAAATTGTTTACACTTTGTTTTTTGTACAGAATAAATAAACAAGATATAACATATTAATTAGTGGATGGGTTTTGTTATCGTCAGACAGCGCCAACCTAGTTGTTTTCAGTCTTTATGCTAAGCTAAGCTTACCAGCTGCTAGCTGTAGCTTCATATTAAGTGAATCAACAAGAAAGAAGCATTTCCTTAAATGTCTAATTGTTTATGGGCCATACTGTCCTTTCCACAGAGATCTCAAAAGGAAAAAGAAATGTCTTTTAATTGATTTCCTTTACAATATTATGTACTAAATGATTATTATTGTTCCAAATTAACAAATCTGTTTTATCGCTCTTTTCTGATGTGTGATAATAATAATAATAATATTAATAATAATAATGAATGCTGTGTGAGTGTAGAGTCCCGTATGGCGTAACAATATCCTTTTTAGACTGGGTTATGTGTGTAAGTCTGGCCTGTCTGGACACAGTTTGAGCTTTCCCATCTCTGTCTCTACTGCATCTACTGCTCTTCTAATAATAGTAAAAGCTGTTGTCAAGGTGCAATGGTGCAACTCAATTGTTTTATTTATTTTGTTCGCTCAAATGGATTTTCTAGCTGAGTGTCAGAACCTTAATCTGTAGGAGGGATAGTGGTCGACACCCACATCATGTTTTCATTTATTCCTTTTGTGAGTGGGGGTAGCCATTACAAATTCGTATTATTCTGGAAATCGAGGAGCAATTCTCTATTTCCACCAAAACCATTTCCATTTTTCAATTTAATGTAAAAAGCACATTTATTTATAGAAATAGTAACAGTTGAACAATTATCTTTTGTTGTATTATAGAATCATTTTGGATAGTTTTTTTTATTGATTATTGCTAATAATAATAACATTAATAATGTGATGTTTTTATGTGGCATTTGGTTTTAAAGGTCGTTATGATGCTTTCCCCACAAGCAGCAGGATTGGCCGTGATCACAATATATTTTCCACCTTCCACACCTCACTGCACAGGGCTGACTTCAGGTATGCTTGTTGGGCTCTTTTTGACCCATTTTAATTGGGTCTCCCCCCTGAAGTACTTCCAGAAAGACGACGGGATGATGTATCAGAAAGCTTCCATATCAAATCAAAAGCTCTGTGTTCCTCTTGATTGCTGTAACTGAGCGAGGATGGGCAGGGCATGGCTCACATCCCAGAGTCATGGTGGGGAGCTGGAGTCTGGAGAACCAGTATGTCTTCCTCTCCTCTCTCAGAGAGCTCTGTTTGTCACTCGCCATCACCGTCTGTCACGCCACAGAGCGCCGTGGCCACACACTCTCCTCTCATGCATCTTTCCATCCAGGCCGTGATGGCATAACCCTCCCTTACATACTCACCACCTCAAAAGGGAAACATGTCATTCCTCTCTCCTCACACAGTGCTAAAAAGGCCCCATTGCCCACAAGGGACCTCTGCTCTTCCTCTGCCAATCGATCTGCTGAATCCTCGCCTTCATTCATCTACCTATCTATCAGTCTTCCTGTCTTAGCGCTTTGCCATTTGTCTCCAGTCTTTACCACTTGTCTGTATGCTCACTGAGGATATCTGTCAGTAATCAATATGCTGTGTCCCTCTCTATTCAGAATATAAATAATGAATAGTAGTGGTTTTAATATGGACATCCTGCACTCGGTATGTACTCATTACATACAGTGAGTGGAATCCCTCCCGCTGATGTAAATCTCTTACTTCCTAATGTACATGGCAGCTGTTTGGATTTCGCTTTCCCTAGCATTTCTCTCCCAACTCTTCCTTAGATTGCTTTTTCCCCTGCATTCAACCCCCACGCAAGGCAAGGAGTATTGATTGTTCCAGTGCACTAATTATCCTGCTTGGCCTTGGATGTCCCTGTGAACCACAGTCAGCCTTTGATGGACATGTCTAGTTGCCTTGCGTTAAAAAAAGGAAAGAAACTGATTACATAATTACAAGTATGTTGTTGGGTCTATCTGCAGTTACTTCCTGTGAGCTCTTCACTTGGCTGATCAGCACCTATGTGTGGGTGTGTATGTATGAGGGCAGTATTTACATATGCATCCATGCATATGTGATTACTCTGTATGTATGTATGTGTGTGTGTGTGTGTGTGTGTGTGTGTATGTGAGCACGCGCATGTGGGCAAAAGTACAGGTCGGTACATCCTGCTCTGCCACCATCTGTGCTCAGGCAGGCAACAGGCCACTTCATACACACTCTCTCTCTTCATAAAGCCACATAGCTCTGTTTTTGTTTGTTTTTTTGCTTGTTTAAAATATGAAAATGTGTTCTTTTCTAAATAACACATACGTATGGTAAGACCATAACTGAGACTATGAAAGGAACACCAGTTTTAATCTACATGCATTTAATTACATTGTGGTATCTAAGTATTTGAAATGTATAATTAATGTTGGCACTTTACCTTTTCCTTTTATCTATGCTTGTACTTAGCTCGTGTCAGAGTTACAGTGTGCTCAACCCATTCCATCAAGTAAGTGCTTCCTGGTGCTCCAGTGGGTGAAAAACAAAACAATAACAAAAATGTAGCCATTATAATTTTAGATACATGCTGACTGACTTCTGTCACCTTTACCTCAATAGCACAGTCATGCAGGTGCTCAACTGGAATGCTTCATGTCAGCCATGATTAAATAAACATAAATTATTTTGACCGTAGATGTTTAATATTAAAAACTATTCATATTATGATTCATTAAATCACACCACGTGTTGATGCAGCAGTGGGGAAATGCTCAAGTGGTCACCAACTCAAAGAGGAACCCCTGACCTTATAATCAATTATACATGTATTTGCACTACATTACAATTCCAGATACATCCTCACACTGAATGTATTTCCATGATTAGAATTTCAGTTCCGTCTGTAATTGCCAGGAATAATGGGGGTAGATTGGGAATCAATATGGATCTCTGGAGCCAGTGTCACTGGTGACCTTTATGCGTGCACAGAGGAGTCTCAGCCAATGACATTTTAAGCTCAAAGGTCCCCATGGATAAGCACTCATCAGGCGATGTGTAAATGACACTCTTGGCAATCTCTGTGTGTTTCTAAACAGTGCTCAGTCTGGCAGAACATATAGATGCACCGAAGCCGTCTGAGTGTTCAGCATGTGCCGCACCTATACATAGTAGCATGGAGCCAGAAAATACTGCATGAGGGTTAGAGACAGGTTACAGAAAGATGCAGGCATAAATAATTCAGTTGTTAGGCAAAGTATACAGACCTGCTTATAAACCCTAATGAGCTGAAACATCTGTCTGCCTGGGGCATATTGTGACCCTCCTAGCCCCTCTCCAGCCAACTCCATGTGAGTCCCTTTGCCCAACTCCTCCCTCTGTTTGGCAGCGCTTCCTTTCCTCACCTGCAGGTGCCCACTTTCTTTGTGTTCTCTCCCAGAGAGTAAGGCTTAGTGGTGCTCAGTATATGAGGATGCACACCCCAGCGTCAATACCATCTGCCAGCCAGCTCCCCTCAGGGCACCAGCCAGGTGCCGTCCACGTTCTCACCCAGCTATGCCACAACAGCACTGCCTGCTGGGATCAACCTCGCTGTGCCAACTGTTGATCATCATGTCCTCCCATTCCCGCCCAGAGACTTATTATTAACCCAGGGACAAGCTGTGCTTAATATAGATTTACAGTTGACTAAAGATGGATTCAGAGTGTGTTTAATTTTTGATGAATGCAGATCATTTCCTGAAGCCACGTTGAGTCTTTGTTGTGTGTGTTGCTGTGTTTGCATCCCAAGTCTCCCAGGTTGTTTCCCTCGAGATGAAGCCTGTGTGGAAGCACAGGTTTCGTTTTCTGGAACAGGGCTATGCCACCAGGTCTATTGGAGCTGCTGCTCTGATGTTGGAGTATTACTCCCGAACCACTGGTATCATAGGGACTAAAGTCAAACATGTACAGGGAGAAAATGTGAAACTACACTGATGCAAAATCAGGAATGTTTACACAGTTTTTAATGTGCCCTGGATCCTTCCAGCAGGACCATGGTTTCCATGGTGTTGTGATGTATGCAGATAACTTATTCATCCACATGGCTCTCCCATCAGGAGTTACAGGAAGCTGATGTCAGAAACAGGGCAGAAGGGGATGAAGGTGGAGATGCTCCCCCTAAGGGTGAGTGAGGGGCTTAATTGCTTATGCTTCCCTTTTTAATAAAGCATTATTTCATAGGTGGTACAGAATGTAATGTTAAAACAAGATTGAAATATATTGTCAGGATAACAACCATTCTTTGTGTTTCTTATTGGACTGTTTTCCTTTATTGTTATGAATGTACTACATATGTATGATTCTGGATTTTTTCTACTGACACTTTAACACTATCCAGCACTCTTTCATAAGAAATACTGTATATATAAGTGAATATTAGAGTCACTGAACCATGCAACTCCTGTCTTTTACAATTTAAATTATTTTGATAAATTGTGGTATACCACATTCTTCTTACCTTTATGATAAGGATTTGTATTTGTATTTGTATGTGTTTGTATTGTCTTATGAAGGTGGTCACTGAGTTACAGTATGTAAGTTGTAAACCGCACAATACCTTTTAGCTTAGTCACTAACCTTATATTCAATTGAAAAACAAGATTTCTTTCTCAAAGATTCAACAATAACAAAGCACATATTCATGTCTACTTTGTCGTAAGTCAGTTTTCGTCGCTGTGCCACAGGCCTCACTTCTTTGCTCAGTTCCTAAAAAAATATGTGCCCCACTTGCCTGGAGAGGGTACTAAACATACTTTATGGCCATTTAATAATTGCTTTTCAACATTTTTATCTTAATGCAGCCTCTTTATGGGAACTGAGAAAATACCATTTACTGGCTCTCTGGAGCAGAGTGGCAATCTTGGATGTGATGTGTCTCACCACCTTTGTACCCGGTCTGTCTCTCTCCTACTGTTTGGCTCCTTTATGAGGCCTGATTCATTGGCAAGCAGTAGCCATATGATATTAATAGATCTCTTTGCTGCCATCATAGCTCTCTTGTGTGTTATGCTCGTAAGTATTATGTTCTTGGACAATGATTCTCGAAATGGTATTCCTCAGACTTTTACTTTAACTTTATATTACAAAGGATGGCGGATCTGTACAGAATTTGTGTGCCTTTGTACTCTGCTAGACTGTGAAAAATACAGAATTCTTGGTGTTATAATCCAAACTTGGCCTTGTGCTCAAGGTCACAATGTATAGCTGCGTAGAGGGCAACTTCATGCATAATGTATACAATATAGCATTCATTGCTAATTAGCACTAACAGGAAAGGATGCCCCCTGATTTCCCCTGATTTTAGTCTAATTTGCATAAATATAATGGGGCACAAGAGAGTGTAAAGCCCAACGTCTGTCCTCCCCTAGGGGTGGAGGAGAGGTGTTACTGGGATCTGGGTGCACAAGTGATAATTGTTAGAGAGCTGTTATTCTGACGCCCAGACCATAAATGAGATGGTGTAAAGTGAACAAAGAGACTGTGGCTAGCAAACAAATGCACCATGAACCTGATACTGACTCAATGGGAAGATGAAGCGCTTAGTACTCTTTAGAAATGTGTAGCTCAATTAGAGCGCCAGTACAATTTGCTCATTTTTTAAAGTTTGACAGATGGACATTTTCCACTGTGTTTAATAGCTAGACAGTGAAATTATTTAAGATAAATGGTAATGCTGATGAGGACTGATTGAGATCAAATACCAGTGATTCATCTCTCTGTATAAATGTAAAAGGCTTTGATGAAAGACTCTTTGGCAGTTGTGTTACCTAAAACTGGGAATCATAAAAAAAAAGGTGACTAATGGCGGTGATTTGGGGGTGGGGGATGCAGTTTGAGGGAACAGTGATATATTATTCACAGGGGTGGGGGCCTTAAGTGCCAAATTAATTTGTTTTTTCTTTCCAGTTGGACGGCAGAATAAATGGGCGCTGTCAGTCGTGCAGTAAAGTGCCGTGCATTCATTTAGACAAGTGTTATTGCTGCACTGGAGCAATACGGTTTTAGCGAAGCAGGCCAGCCTGGTGGGTGGAAGCTGTGTAATTATCTCTGGTTCCTATGATGGCAATGATTGCTAAAACAGCCAAGTGGTCTCAGAGCACAGCAGGTGTGACTGTCAGACTGCAGGTTTGTGGGCCTGTATATGGATGTGAGTGCACATGAGCCGTTGGGGTGGCTGTGACTGAACAGACATGTGCCTGGATTTTGTTTTTTGTTCATACATGATGACAATAGTATACTGATAGTTACTTGATCAAATTAAAAGAACTGGAATAAAAGGAAATTGGTTGAGTTTGATTCATTGCATGGTGGCTAATATAGCTATGAAAACCAAAACTCTCCTGAGGGATCAAACACCATATATGACACCATGGTTTCTCAACCTTAACCCACTCCTATACCTTCAATGAAGCCATTAACATGTTTTTTTCCAGCTTGCTGTGTTTCACATAACTGTATAATGATCTTGAGGCTATTTTACACAGATTGGTGTTGACAGAAATGGTGTAGCACTGATTAAAGCGGACCAAGCAGATGTTTTCATTTTTTCCTCTTTTTCCGCCATCGCTTCTGAGGGAATCTGACAACGTGCAAATGCAGAAACACAGACATCTGCTGTGTTTCAAAGGACCAGCAGAACGGAAAATGAATACTAATGCCGCTGGACTGTATTTATCAGCCTGACATTCAAAAGAGTTAAATGCGCTGCTTATTCTCTGTGATACAGAGGAAACTTTGAAACATGCAGGACTTTCAGTGGTGTGAGTCAGATAGTGGATATGGCAGATGTTTGCCAAGAGATATGGTTTCTATTGATGCTGACACACAGCTTGGACTGACAGAGATATTTCTTCTGCTGGCTTATTTTCCCATTCTGAATTCCTGTGTCAATTTCTGTTCATGTTGCAGTGGATCAACTACTATGGACAGATAGAAGCAGATAATAACTTCAACTATAGCAAGCATAACTGCTATACACACACAGTGAACAAATACACATGGAATTTACAGTATACACAAAATGCACAAAATACGGGGTTTCATCCTCTTCGGTTAGTAGGTCTCTGCAGTGCAAATACTCACCAGTGCAACGAAAATCCTAACAAGGGTACATTTATTTTATCTGTCATGTTGCCTCGCTTCAGCTCTTGTAGAGAGTCAGAACAAGATCTGTTCCTCCTCATACTGCTGTGTGGTGAGGACACTGTTTGAGATGATCAACACTTACTCGACTGACTAATGAGGTGGATTCAGTAGGGGCAAAGGGCTGGGTTGAACGTCTTTGTTAGACAGGCCTGCAGCCCCCTTCTTTGCAGCCTGCTCCCAAGGGAGGCCTCACAGACTGCCTAATTGAATCAAGTACACATGGTGCCTCCCCCTCCACAGCTCGGCCCCTCCCCGTATGAGAGGAGTGAGGAGGAGAGCTCCTCCGGCTTTGATGCTTTTGTTCTCTTCAGCACCATGGACAGCGCGGGGGGGGGGTTTGCTGCAACTAGTTGCCTGCTGCTGGATGGAGAGGCACATCATCACTGCTGCACTCTTGACAGTCACTATCTCTGCAGCTGTTCTCCCTACACTCCTGTGCTGAGGCAGAAAATTGGTTTGTTAGACTCTACAACACCATAAATTACCAGTTCAGCTTTGGGTGCGGGGAGCTGGCCAAACCAGAAATCTGTATTTGATAGAACATAGAATAACATCCTCACAGTATAATTTTTGTGTCAGTGGGCAGGTGTTTCAGACAGCCAGAACAAACAAATGTTAAGAAGACAAAGGCAGGACTATGTGACTACGCATAGCTTAGTGCCTTGTATTTCATCAGTGACTGTCTCTCTTCTTCCTCAAACATGCCCAGACACAGACAACATGTCCTTGGTGCTCATCGCAGTTCAGCACCCTCATTTCAGCGAGACAGATTGGAGTTGTGCTTCAAGGAAAAGTCTGCTTATTAGATTGCCTCCAGATGCCAGGTTAATGAATGAATCCATTTGTGAGCCAACATTCAAATTACAAGATACAGAGCAGAGTCCGGCAAGAGTCTATCTCTGAGACATATGCAGCCTGCTGGCTACAAATGGCAATATATTATGTTTTTTTACATTAACATGTCTCTTGTGCTCCAGTTTTTAAACTTTGATCTGACTACCTTTTAAGGGCATCTAATACAGTGCATGATAATGGTATTTTCTATGTTGGTTTAAAAAAATAAACCTTTTATTATTTTTGTGTCATATTATGGTCATTCTATGTACAGGTATTTTACCAGCTGAACACAGGGAAAATAGCTATGAACACTTAATGAGCATGTAAAGCCTTTTTTGAGCTTTTACTAATGTGACTATAATGACTTGATAGGTAATTAAAATAAGCAGACATGGGTTGTTATCCAATTTGGAAGATCCATTAACAAAACCATGAGCTTTCTTAATTAAACAATTTATAAAATTTAATAAGGCTTGTAAGTATTTCCACTGGTCTCCCATTCCAGCCAGTAACTCAATCATTAAATCATGCCCGGAAAGCACTATTGCAATGAACTTGGGTCAGATATGTCTAAGAGGCTAAAATGTAATTGTGGGGAACAGCTGGATTAGTCCAGGCAATGTATATCCGCTCCTAATGATATTAGATAGGGGTCTGGAGAGTACCTTCCAGCACACAGCCCTCATTTTGATGAGCCACAGGAAGACTGAACAGAGATAGTTTCAATGCCATGATACAGGTCTGCTAGACCGCCATGTTAAGTCAGTCAGGCACTATGAGTCTCTTATTTCAAGCGTAAAGGTTACGTAACCACTGAAACTAATATGGCATTATTTCTTATTCACATTGCAATTTTTTATTTCCTTTATCAGTATTAAACATGCTGATAGCTTTAATACCAGAAGCAATAAATTGACAGTGTGATAGTATTAAACATCCACAGTATTTATTGATCTCCCAGTGTCCCATCTTTGCTGCTTGAGGCAAACCAGGAGGAGGGGTCTTTCACTCATATTGTCCCTCCCAGGCAAGAGCACCACGCCCAGCCCAGCTCTTTGTAAGTCCCGCTGCTAGAGTTTCAATGCAATGTGTTGCCTAAATTTTATCTGATGAACATGAAAATTACAGCACCTTTGATTATT